CTGGAGTCCGTGCTCTGCAACGAGAAGCCACTGCAATGAGAAGCCTGTGCACCGCAACGAAGAGTAGCCCCCGCTCGCCTCAACTAGAGAAAGCCTGCACGCAGCAACAAAGACCCAATGCAGCCAAAAATAAATAAATAAAGTTATTTAAAAAAAAAAAAAGAATAAAGAAAGCTCAGGAGCCTATGAGGAATATGAATAATATATTTGTACTTAATATATTCATGTGTATTATAAATGAGGGTGATTGAAAGAGCACAGGAATATTTTGAGGGAAAAAAGTGAAGGAGGAACACGATCTTGCTTCAGCCTTATCAGTGCTTCTGTGTGACTCTGAGTGTGACCTCATTTGAAGGTCATGTCGAAAGTCCACATGATGGACCCTTTGTGAACGTGAAGACGGGGCCTGATGGCTTCCTTGATCTTCTTGGGAGGACACCTGGTAGCTTTGTCTTTTCCCTCCTTTTTATCCTAACAATGATTCCACCAGAACACAGGTATTAGAATGCCCCCAGGGATCCACCCAACTTCTCATAAGTCCTCTGTTTATTTTTCAAAATAGGAGAGGGAAGGTTAGTTTGGAGATAAGGAATGAGGCTGATTAACCAGTTAAGCCATTTCTGTTAGTTCAGGAGATCAAATTTCACTGTATTATCTATAATGTGAATAGTTAACTTTCCTGGTGGAGTCTTCCCTAAAGGAGATAAATTAAGAGAGTAAAAGTATAGTGGGTTTTTCTTCTCCTTGCCTTTCTTCTAAGTTTCCTAACTGACCTCCTGAACTTAATATTTGAAGTGATAACTTAATATTGCTAAAATTAATATAAAATTAATTTCCTTTTTGATGAAGGAATTTCTGAAGAACCAAAGTCCATGGATGCAACATTTTACAGCCTTCTATACAATGAAATATCTTAGCATAGAATCAAACATTCCAGCTTATCACTCAGACCTGGGATTCACAGTTATCTAGAGCAGACTCAAATTTCAAAATACAGACTTAGTACCTGAAAACTAAAAAATTCCCCAAAGCTTCCAAGATTGGCCCTATTCTCATACTTGCCAAAAGTCACCCATGGAAAGAAAAGAACCGAAGGTTATGGACCTTGACAAAGAAACTTAGTGCTGATGATTTTCATTCTCAAGAAACTTTAAATGCTGACTCAGATGAGTGGAATTAAACATTACTAGAGGAGGCCATACTGATTAAAATTCTAAATATCTGACCTATCTCTGATTATCTGGTTTTAGCAGGCTGGAGGGTTAGCCCTGTCAATCAAGATAGCATTGCCTAACTTACAGCAATAATGTTTTTTAAACACATGCTTTAATGAAAATCCATAGAACGCATGTTCTACATAAGATCAAAACCAAACAGCAATACATTTGTTTTCCAGGGGAGACAAATGAACTTAGTAGTTGCCAGCCTGATACTGCATTCCCTATGTATTCATGAAATCTTCATTCTGCTAATGTAAAATGCAAATACGGCAGAAGGAGAAAGAAATTTGTGCCATAAAAATGATTCTTTTCAGTGCAGCTAAAGCCTGGAAATCAATTAACACTGTAGGCTCCTGTTTTTGTAGTTAAGACCAGAGGTTGGCAAACTAAGGCCCATGGGCCAAATCCAGCCTCCACCTGCTTTAGTGAGTAAAGATTTATTGGAAAGCCACCAAGTCCATTCCTTTATGTACTGCCTATGGCTACTCTCACGTTACAAAGTTGAATAGTTGTGTCAAAGACAGTCTGCTCTGTAAAGCCTAAAATATTTACAATCTGGTCGTTTATAGTAAAGAGCTGTGTGACCTTGGGTCCATTACTTAAGAACTCAGTCTTTCTACCTCTTCAATGGGGATATTAAGAACAATAACAGCTAAGTTCACTAAACGTTTACAAGGCGTCTAGCACTATTCTAAGTATATTCATTTAAGCCGACAACAACCCTATGAAGAACATACTATGATTGTCCCCATTTTATAGGTGAGGAACTAGAGCCACAGAGAGGTGAGGTCACTTGCCTAAGGTCTCACAGCCAGGAAGTAGTAAAGCTCCTACCTCACATGGTAATTATGAGTGTAAATGAGGTCAGGCAGGCAAGTAGGGCTTTTATCCTGGTGCCTGGAACATAGTAAGCTGTCAAGGAATGATTACTGACATTATTATTAATTTTGAACCTGAGCCATCAGAAATGAACAAATTAGTTGGTAACTGAGCTGAGCCTTCTCATCTTGACTTCCTGGAGCATTTATTTACCTGACATCTTCAGGAGGGGATGTTACATTGTCAAAATGGTGTTTGTTGTGCTGGGGAAGGTGATAGATTACGCAGAGTTTGCTTGCCTTGGTCTCCGGATTGTCAGTTTTTCAAACAGGATTCTGACGCGCTAAGAGCCCCCAGAGGGTACAGCAACTAATGATGCCATTAAAAAGAAGAGGAAGGAGGAGGGGGGAGAGGGAGCGGGTGGAAGAAGAGATGAAGATGAAGACGGAGAAGAAGAAATTTCATGAGACCCAGAAGCTCCACGTAGACAGTTCTCAATTGCTGTGTGCCAGCCGGCCATGGCCCTCCATTGGTTCACATTCAAACCACAAAATGAATAAGATGAATTAAAATGTATTCATGCGTAAAACAAATTAAATTGGCTTTTGGAAACTATTTACTGTTTTTATAACTTAAAAAACTACACAAGTCACATATTCATTGTAGAAAATGCAGATAAACAATAGGAAATAGAAAACAATCACCCATAATCCCATCATCTTGAAAGAACCACATTTAACGTGTTGATAGAATGGTCCCCCCTTATCTGCAAGGGGATACATCCAGTATGTGATACAGAGGATAATACTGAATCCTATACAGATGATGTTTTTCCTATGCTAATGGGAGAGTATCTATACAATGTAAATATGCTAGACAAAGAGATGATTCACCTCCTGCGTGGGACAGAGAAGACAGTGCAAGGTTTCATCATCAGACCAGAAAGGCACACAATTTAAAACTTCTGAATTGTTTATTTCTGGAATTTTCCATTTAATATTTTTGGATTACAGTTTACCGTGGGTAACTGAAACCTTGGAAAGTGAAACCAAGGACAAAGGGGGACGACTGTCTGCTAGCTTAGTTTGTCCCCCACCCCCCACCGATTTATTTATTTATTTATTTATTTATTTATACCAGGGTGTTAAAAACAAGATGAGGTACAGATCTCCACCTGGTGTAGTAAGGTTAGTGTCCTTCCTTACCTTTAACACCTTCCTTAACACTTTCTTTTGTTTATATTTATTTATTTATTTGGTTGTCCCGGGTCTTTTTTTTTTTTAAGACAAAAGGTATTTTATTCAAAAAAAAACACCAAGTATAAAAAGAAAAAAAATAAGATGTCTTTCATTCTCCTGTACAGTGTTTCACTCAGATAAAAGCAGCAGGTTACATGCTGCTCAAAACAGCCCCAGAGAGGACCCGGAAGGCACACCACCCAGAAATGCTTTTCATATAGCTATCCTATGTACACAAGTCAGCACTGCCCCTCCCCCATCACCCACGGACGCCATGTCCCCTTGGGTAAGCAGACCAGGGGGGCCGCGGCAGTCAGGGAGCTGCCCCGCCTGAGTCCCATCACCCTATGAATGAACAGAGCAAGCGTTGCAGCCTTCCTCCAAAGGTCCCCGAGTCAGAGGAGGAAGGGAGAAAAGAAAACTGTGGCAGTAGCTGTGGAAGCTTGGAGCAGCAAGGGAACCAAATAAATAAATAAATAACATTGACCTCCAGGTTAGAATGTGCATCTTTCCAAGAAAACAAAAAACAAAAAACCCAAACCAAAACAGAACAAAAAACAGGTAAAATAATTTAAAGGCAAAATTTAAAAAGAATTAGATCAACTACAATCCTTTCGTACACGACCATGCCAACTGCACGCACATTTACAGGTGTTCTGTTGATTTGCGTTGTGTGTGTGTGTGTGTGTGTGTGTGTGTGTGTGTGTGTGTGTGTGTGTG